GTGTTAGGAGGAGGATGCCACAGATAATGAAACTAAGGGCAGTGGGCACTCTCCTGCCCCAGCGGTCGATGATTGGGCCATTGATAGTGTACCCTGGCACCTCCATCAGTCCCCCCAACACAATGTAGAGGAAGGGATCGGCACTGTAATTGTCACCGCTCAGGTTAAGTCCGTCGAACACCAACGAGGCAGCGAAGTTGTCCAGGCAAACAATTACGGTGACCACGGTGATGACACGGTTACTAGGGCAGATAAAAATAATAATAATAATAATAATAATAATAATAATAATAATAATAATAATAATAATAATAATAATAATAATAATATTTTTATTATTATTATCACACTGGCCGATTCCCACCAAGGCAGGGTGGCCCGAAAAAGAAAAACTTTCACCATCATTCACTCCATCACTGTCTTGCCAGAAGGGTGCTCTACACTACAGTTTTTAAACTGCAACATTAACACCCCTCCTTCAGAGTGCAGGCACTGTACTTCCCATCTCCAGGACTCAAGTCCGGCCTGCCGGTTTCCCTGAACCCCTTCATAAATGTTACCCTGCTCACACTCCAACAGCACGTCAAGTATTAAAAACCATTCGTCTCCATTCACTCCTATCAAACACGCTCACGCACCGCCTGCGGAAGTCCAAGCCCCTCGCACACAAAACCTCCTTTACCCCCTCCCTCCAACCTTTCCTAGGCCGACCCCTACCCCGCCTTCCTTCCACTACAGATTGATACACTCTTGAAGTCATTCTGTGTCGCTCCATTCTCTCTACATGTCCGAACCACCTCAACAACCCTTCGTCAGCCCTCTGGACAACAGTTTTGGTAATCCCGCACCTCCTCCTAACTTCCAAACTACGAATTCTCTGCATTATATTCACACCACACATTGCCCTCAGACATGACATCTCCACTGCCTCCAGCCTTCTCCTCGCTGCAACATTCATCACCCATGCTTCACACCCATATAAGAGTGTTGGTAAAACTATACTCTCATACATTCCCCTCTTTGCCTCCAATGACAAAGTTCTTTGTTTCCACAGACTCCTAAGTGCACCACTCACCCTTTTCCCCTCATCAATTCTATGATTCACCTCATCCTTCATAGACCCATCCGCTGACACGTCCACTCCCAAATATCTGAATACATTCACCTCCTCCATACTCTCTCCCTCCAATCTGATATCCAATCTTTCATCACCTAATATTTTCGTTATCCTCATAACCTCACTCTTTCCTGTATTCACTTTTTAATTTTCTTTTTGCACACCCTACCAAATTCATCCACCAATCTCTGCAACTTCTCTTCAGAATCTCCCAAGAGCACAGTGTCATCAGCAAAGAGCAGCTGTGACAACTCCCACTTTGTGTGTGATTCTTTATCTTTTAACTCCACGCCTCTTGTCAAGACCCTCGCATTTACTTCTCTTACAACCCCATCTATAAATATATTAAACAACGACGGTGACATCACACATCCTTGTCTAAGGCCTACTTTTACTGGCAAATAATTTCCCTCTTTCCTATGTACTCTAACTTGAGCCTCACTATCCTCGTAAAAACTCTTCACTGCTTTCAGTAACCTACCTCCTACACCATACACCTGCAACATCTGCCACATTCCCCCCTATCCACCCTGTCATACGCCTTTTCCAAATCCATAACTGCCACAAAGACCTCTTTAGCCTTATCTAAATACTGTTCACTTATATGTTTCACTGTAAACACCTGGTCCACACACCCCCTACCTTTCCTAAAGCCTCCTTGTTCATCTGCTATCCTATTCTCAGTCTTACTTTTAATTCTTTCAATAACAACTCTACCATACACTTTACCAGGTATACTCAACAGACTTATCCCCCTATAATTTTTGCACACTCTTTTGTCCCCTTTGCCTTTATACGAAGGAACTATGCATGCTCTCTGCCAATCCCTAGGTACCTTACCCTCTTCCATACATTTATTAAATAATTGCACCAACCACCCCAAAACTATATCCCCACCTGCTTTTAACATTTCTATGTTTATCCCATCAATCCCGGCTGCCTTACCCCCTTTCATTTTACCTACTGCCTCACGAACTTCCCCCACACTCACAACTGGCTCTTCCTCACTCCTACAAGATGTTATTCCTCCTTGCCCTATACACGAAATCACAGCTTCCCTATCTTCATCAACATTTAACAATTCCTCAAAATAATACTACTACTACTACTACTACTACTAATAATAATAATAATAATAGTAATAATAATAAATAATAAATAATAATAATAATAGTAATAATAATAATAATAATATTATTATTATTATTATTATTATTATTATTATTATTATTTTTATTATTATTTTTATTATTATTATAAAATTATCATTATTATTATTATTATCATTATTTTTATTTTTATTATTATTATTATTATTATTATTATTATTATTATTATTATTATTATTATTATTATTATTATTCAAGTCTTCGCAGTACACTAACAAAGAATGGAACCTTGGAGAATGAGATTACAGAAATAACACTGCCTCACCTGAGCACACCTGGTCGACTCAGGAACCTGGAGAGTTTCTTGAATAACTTCTCAGAACCTTCCTGGACTGTCTCCCTCGCCTTGGCTGCCGCCACCGACTATTGATAAAACGATGCAAATATTATATGCCACATGAAAAAAAAAATTGCGATGAGAAACTTTCTGTTTTTTTTGACGTGTTCGGTGATCACTTAGAAAATTTTGTGTTTCTCATGGTGTATACTGTGGACATTCAGATTTTTTTATATTTCATAAAAAATGTATATATTATATTTCAAAGTATATAAAATATACTTATATTTTTCAAGCATTTTTATGAAATTCCAATATATATACTGTAATATGTATTTAAAATACATTAATCTGGAGTAAAAGTTCCTAAATTTATAGATTATACGAGAGGAGGCATTGTATCACACATTAGGGAGCACTAACAGCCTGGCTGGTCAGAAACTGGCTAAGACGAGCGGACAGGACGGAGGATCGAGCCATCACTTCAAGAAATTAGACAATTAAACATTTGATACCCCCGCTGATGTGTATAACGCTGTCCCTTCGAGGGGGGGGGGTTCTTTTGATCCAGGTAACTGAAGCTTCCCTTCCCCTCCTTGGATCGGACATGAATACCTTCCGTTTCCGAGGAACTGCATAACTCCTACGGGTTTGCCTTTTCCCCATAAATTAATTTATATAAACCAAACTTGGAAAAAAATAGGAAACATGAGTGGTGAAGGCTCGATCCTCCATGTTCAATAATAGATAAGGGTTGAGCTCTTGTATTGTAATGAATAAATAATAATAATACTAATAAATCCTCAGTATTCACTCCCTAGGCTCAGTGGAGAACCTACCTCTTCTTGTATGTTCCTCATGAGGGCTCTGAGGTCCTCTTCAGGAGGTAGTGAGACCTTGTTCCAGCGGGATGCTTTTTCCAGTACCTTTAGGGCCTTGTCGTAGTGTCCGTTAACGATAAGCCAGCGTGGAGACTCGTCTATAAAACTGTGTGTACGACGATGTTAGTATGTGGAGACTCTTCCATGAAGCTGTGTACACAGGTACAATACAACTAGATTAGAGTGCCTGTCACATGGTCAGTGCACGGAGGAACGAGTATCGCTTAATGTGAAGTATAGTTTAAAACCGAGTTACTAGCTCCAGGGCACCCAAACAAAAGGGTCCCGAAATGGAAAAGAACTTCAAACAACATCGGTCCCCAAAAGAGCTTAATTCTGGGTAATCTGTGCACAAAAATATCATATAAGTTAGTAGTGATAACACACACACACGTATACACACACACACACACACACGTGCACACACACACACACACACGTACACACACACACAAACAGAGAACAATATCACTTACTAAGTAGGGATGAGAGCGAGCAAGATTGGGAAGGACACAGCAGCCTGTAGCCACCTCCACTCACGAATGCAGTAAGCCAGAGCACCCCAGAGCATGGTACCCAACGCCCAGGGCAGTCCCATCATGATACCCACCAGACCTCTGTTCTTGGGCTCACACACCTCCAGAGCTGTGTATATATAATATATATATATATATATATATATATATATAATATATATATATATATATATATATATAATATAAATATATGTCGTGCCGAATAGCCAGAACTTGCCATCTTGGCTTAAATAGCAACGCTCATCTTGCCATATAGGACAAGCGAAAATTTGTGTATGCAATAATTTCGCCAAAATCATTCTGAACCTAACGAAAAAAATATATTTCACTGTGTTTGTTTAGTATTAAATTATTGTAAACAAATCTAAAATATATTTAGTTGGATTAAGCTAAAATAAATTTTTCTTGTTATAATAAGGTTAGGTAAGTTTTCTAAGATTCCTTTGGTGCAAAATTATAAATTTTTACATTAACATTAATGAAGAAAATATATCTTTGAACGTATAAGAGAAAATTTTAGAAATAACTTAATTTTAAATAAGTTCTTGCTAATTGACCAGTTTTACATATTCGGCACGGGGCATAAAATATTATAATATATAAATATAAATATAATATAATATAATATATATATATATAATATATATATATAAAATATATATATATTAAAATATGCAATAAGACACAGTAAAGGTGAATTTTTTAAAATATGCAAAACAAAAACCCTCTGAAAGAATAGAGAAATTTCCAAACGCTTTCCCTGACTACTCACATTTTCAAGGAACAATGAAAGTAAAGCAAAAGGAAGATATATAAAGGGTCGCCCCACCTCACTATCAGATCCCACAAAAAAGAAACACCTATGCGGACAGCAGGGGCCGCCAGCCGAACAGACAGGGCCCCCAAAACCCACCAACATATTTCCTTGAAATGTAGTAGTCACGAAACCTTGGAATTTTTATTCTTTCAAGTGGGTTTTTTTGCTATATATTATATTATATATATAAAATATATAATATATATATATATAATATTTATATATTTTATATAAAATTTATATATGCAAAATAAAACAGCATATAGGAATGAAAATCTTTAGCACAAGTCTTTCGCTCTTGTGTGTCAAGATTTTGAATTGTTGCAAGCACCCGAAAAGGAGGAAAATTCTTCGAAGGCAAGGCACAAGCGATCCACGTAAACCCATACCATTGATGGGTCGCGCCGGCCGCTGGGACTCTCTTAATTTGAATTATACTCACCCGGATGAAGGGTTGGGGGGGTTAAGGTGCCCAAGACGAACGGGCGACAACGATAAAAGGGGGAAGTTGTGAGAAAATGACATGACTTTAGTGAGTCACGGGTTTTCATCACTAAAAACCACGCGCCAGCGTCCCTACAGAGAAGAATATTGATCATGGTGTTGGGTGGTGTGTGTGTGTGTTGTGGTGTGTTTTGTGGTTGTGTGGTGTGGTGTGTGGGGGTGTGTGTGTGGGGTGTGTGTGTGTGTGTGTGTCATGTGGGTTCGATTCGTGGTGGGTAAAAAAAATCCCGAGGCTGGTATTCGTTTAATTTTAAAAACGGAAATAGGGAAAACGCCAACGCCGACCGCCTCTCTCTGTTCCCCATTCTGAGTTCTTTTTAAAACATCTATGGTCCGCAATGTGAAAACAGTAAGTGATTCACTCAACTGTGGTAGTGGGTCATCTACTGGTCACGGTTACGGGTAACGGGTTCTGGGAAGTGGTACTACTATGAAGCTCGGCAACGCTAACGATGTCGTCCCGACATGCAGCTAATACAATAGAGATGGCAGGTGTTGGTTTGGGCTGATTCTATACAATGTCAAAGTACACAAAAATTTTGAACATAAACAAAAAGGAATATTGGAATGGAAGCTATGTAATTGAAAAAAAAGAAACTTCTGTAATGAAAATTTACTGCTTATATACAAACCCCACGAATAGACTAAAACATGGGATTACACATTAGAAGTGATAAAAAAAATTTTTATCGACGTTTGTATTCGGATCTACGGATTCTGAGGAAAAAATTTTTAATAAAAAAGAAGGTTTAACAAAAAGGCAGTTTCGGGCACTCAAATCTAGACTGTTCTCTCAAAATTTCGGAGAGAACGGAAACACAAAAAAAAATTCTTAAATATGTAAGTTGAACTGAAATTATTCATCATACAGGTTATTTAAATTTAAAACCCAACTTGCTAGGGTGAGATTGACAATCAGAATGTGTGTCACTCTGGGGGATAAACTCTTTGCACTGGCTAACTCATGCCATATTTAGGAAATCTAATTTGGTAGTTACAATGAAATTTGGGGATTTCTAAAACCTTCTGTAGAGGGAAAACGACATTCAAGTTGATCGTCTGACTGAGTACAAGGTAGAAAGTACAGGATCAGGAGGTTGTCAGGCCCTGCCTTAGTCTGGGTTGGAACATCATTATCATACAAACAACTTCATAGATCAAAATGCGATTTTTAGCTGACCAAAATATAATTTCTCAAACCCTTTTATACTTAACCGTGATTTTTCAACTACTCGAAAGGACCAACAAACTTTTGACAACTTTGGGATTGCAGACGTTTTGTTAAATTAGTCGCATAACTCTAAACCTCTTTGATTTTGGAGGGCTTTGCTCGGTGTTTCCGACTTTTTAAAATTCGCTTTTGATTTATAAAGTTTTCACGGATTTTTTTCCCAAAGACGCTTTGAGCTGGGCTGGTACAGTTGCTAGAAATCATCGGGGTTGAAATTTTGGGTTTTTGGATTAGAATATAGCAACTAAAGGCAAACGTTTATTACACCAACAATGCATAATGGGGAGTGTCCCCCTATAAAAACACGAAAGCAAATTTATAGCACACTGCACATCGGGTATAACTTCACCCCAAGTTTCACTTTTGGGACTGATATGGCTTCAAAAATCAAGGTTTTTCTTTTGGGTTTCGTTCTGCAACCCCCTTTGCTGGGGGGATATGGGGAACAATGGTGGTTTTAAGGATTTGTAAAAGGGTACAAAAATTTTTTCGAGAATTTTTTTACAGAATTCACCACTTTTCTGTTAAGGGACTTAGGGGTGGTGCCTGCAGATAATGCTTTCTTTAAACGCTTTACTATGTTCGGCGTCTTATCTGAAATGGGAAACTAACCACAATATCGGTGAAATGGCTCCCCTAACAACGATGTTTGTTGCCCTGGAGGGAAACAGGGAAATTAGTTAACAAACAGGAAACCTTTCCCACGGTTCCTAGTAGTTGGATACACTTGAATTGGGATTAGGACCTTTTGCATTACCTTTATTTTTGCATGCAAAACTCTTTTCTTAACATATCAAAATATCTTTTGCCAACGGGGCCAAAATATTTCAATCTGCTTTTTTTACGAACGACCATACCAGGGTGTGCAACACCTATCACGTAAACTAGCTGTAAGGTACTTTCACTAGTGACGGGAATTATAAATGGTATACTCTTCTGTAGGAGTCCCCAACTGGGCTGTTCGATACAGTAATTCTTGGTTATGACAAAACATTGATGGGGGCTGGTGGCTTCTAGTCAGAATAAGAACTTCCTGGAGCAGGAATCGAAACACACCAGACCACATGGGATCTGCTCGTTGAACTTTTTTTACATCTTCGGCAGTAAAGGGGGGTCGCTTACTAACAACAGCGGATAAGGATCTGCGAAAATTTGACTTGCCAGGTAATTTTTCAAAAGGGGGGTTGAACTCTGGGTAGTCCAAAGGGCCCTCTGGCTAACCTTCCAGTAGGTTGTTTTTTCTGGGAAAAAGGTATCAGTGGAGCATGGTCTGTCAAGACATGAACAAGACGTAAATAATGTCCGGAAGTGCTTTAAAAAACCAAACATTTTCTAAACTTTTTGCTCATTACTGTATTTTACTTCAGCCTTTGTAAGGACTCGGCTGCAAAAGCAACGCGTTGTACTTGCCATCATCTTTTGACTTGTACGGCAAACCCATGCCCAAAAAACTCATCAGTTTCAGATGAAGGCTTAAAAAAAATTGGAAAATTTCAAAAATTTGGGGCAGATTTTAGCTTTTTCTTTTAGAGTTTGGAATCCTTTCTTGACGGAAGGTCCAAAAAAAAGGAGCATCTTTTCTTTTTAAACAACTCAGTTTGAGCAGCACTTTGGAAGAAAAATTTGGAATGAAAATTTTAAAAAACCTGCTAACCCACAAAGGATCTTACAGCATCAGCAGTTTTGGGGGTTGGAAAATTTAGTACTGCAGTTACTTTACTTTGGTCGGTCGTAACCCCCCCTAGGAGGACTACGGGCCAAGAAACTTAAATTTCTGATCTAAAAAATTGACATTTAACAGTTTGATCTTTAAATTGGCTTCTTCAAGTTTCCAAGTACACATCAAGTCTTTTCAAAGGGGTATCCGCGTCTTTTGACATGACGATTATATCTAATACACCAAAGTGCATTTTCCATGAGACTCTAAAGATATTAGTCGAAACCCTTAGAACTGTAGGGGAGGATCGTAAACCCAAAGCCATGCAGAGGAATGATGACCGTAGGAGTGGAGGATGCAGTTTGTCTTGGCTGTCCTCGTAAAAGGGGGTTGCCAAAACCCTTGAACAAGTCCAGGTTGAAAAAACTTTTTTATCTCGAAGTTACGTAAAAATCCCCTTCAGGAAGAGGGAAGGACTGGAATAGTTTTCCATTTAACTTCCCAAAGTCAACATGGGCCCAAGTTCCATTTCTTAGGCACTATCAAGGGCGCTTTCCCAAATCTCGCTGACTCGTGGGAAATTTCTCCCGGAGGGGGGTATCAGCCCCCTTCATCCCCTTTTACCCTTTCAGCCCTGAGGGGCCCGCCCTCTCAGAAGGGGAAGGTCTTTTTACTGCTACAGTGAGTAATTGATCGCAGATGCAGTATGAGTATGATGCAGATGCAGATGCAGATGCGTAGACCCGGGCAAGCAACCGCTGCTCCTTGCAGTCCGTGTTGCAAGTGTATTTTAATAAAAGACATAATCTTTACCTTAGCAGGACAATTAAAGGAAAACCTGCCCCATTTTACCATGTAAAGATGTGGAATTGTTGTTTTATGCTTTAGACAGCAAGATTTTAAAAATTCTGCTTTGCTTCATCGAGGAAGTGGAAGGAACAAAAACTGGCACTTTTCCTTTGTGCTGGGGCAGGGCGGCATGGGGGGGTTTTGGCGTCTTCAATTACTTTGACCTACTGAAGGACACTGACGCCAGGGTAACCCAAAAAAGGGAAAGATCTGGCGTTAGTGTGAAAAAAGTGTCCCCAAAAACACAATAAACACTTAAGAAATGTATCAGCTTCTTTAGTGTAAGATTGTAACAATAAAAACAAAAATTTTTGTGGAACAATGTACCCGTGTGGTATTCCTGATAGGAAGACGTGGACATCCAAGGAAATTCAGCTTCTATCAATCACCGATACCTGTCGAAGGGGTGAAAAAACCCCCTAGCTCACGCTAAAGACAAGGGAGGTTTCGAATTTTTTTGTATACGGGGGATGCGCAGTTTTTGATCGCAAGGGGTTTGTAATCAACCTATATCGGGGAAGGGGCGGGCCTTTTGAGTCAGCCATCAGTGAATAAAAAATCTGACAAACACCCCTAGGGTAAATTTTTAATTTCAAATTTTAAATCATTTACAGCCCGGAGAATGACTTCGACAGCTTCTCAAGACCCGTCTGCGGGGGGGTTGGGGGGCGTGAGTGTCTTTTCGTTAAATAAAACTCTTTAAACTTTGCTGTAATGCCATTTTCAACAACCAAAACCCGGGCCCACGGGGGAGCGGGCTTTGAAACGCTATGGTCACACAATGTGAATAACGTCAGTGATTCACACAGACAGTTGGTAGTGAATCATCTACTGGTACACTGGTTACTGGTAACTGGTTACTAGGAACTGGTACTACTACTGAGATGTGTGTGTGTGTGTATGTGTGTGTGTGTGTGTGTGTGTGTGTGTGTGTGTATGTGTGTGTGTGTATATGTGTGTGTGTGTGCATCATATATTGGCGTTGCTCAGAGTTCTGTTATTATGCATAGTAAATCAACAGAAAGCACTAAAGACTCTAAACACGTTCACTGTGGGTTGCCATATGTTTGATCACGCACACCTGCAAGGACCACTAGGTAATTACACAAGTACAGGTAAGCAATACCTGTCAGCGAGGTAGCCGGCAAGCAGAGGGCTGAAGATGGTACCCATCATGTAGATACTTTGATATGTGGCTCTGAGGTGGTCTCGTTTACACACGAGCGAGAACTGGGAAAGACAATGCATTCTTAATTTTAATACAGAGAATAGTAAAAATATATGCAGAACGTTTCCTTCTATATAGAGCTTTATTAAATCATGACCTGATGAAGCTCTACACGTTGTCCCAATAAAAGCTTTTTGTACATACTTATAACCATATCTCTCCTCATTACGCCTCTATAGTTTTATTTAGCATACAATGTAGTTCAGTTTACGGACCAAAAGCAATTATCCTGCTTCTCTTCAAAACTTGGTACAAGCTGTAGATACTACCAGTATTTCCGGAGATGAGGCTAACAACAGTCAACTAACACAAAAGTACCTACAGCATTTGGTACAAGGCAAGAAAGGGCAGCAAATGTTAGGAGACTTGCCCATACATCCCGTCTTGTTAACAGTGGCTAATCAGCATCTTAGTTTGGTTTACAGGTCAAATATTCATCAGGTGGTTCTGATATATGTTTGAGACATTTGTAGCCCAGTGCTCAGAGCGTTAGGTTATTCTCTTGGAGGCAGTTTTTTTGCAGTAATGGGTTTTCTATCGCTTCTGTCTCCTGGAGACAGTCCTACGACCTTGAGTTATATCTGTCTCTCTTGGCGACGTTGTCTACAGTGTATTGGGTTTTCTCAATCGGGGACAGTTGTAAATGTACAGAGTCGGATCGTTCTTCGTTGGGAATTGTAACGTACATAGCGTTATTCTCTATTCTCTAATAAAAAATTTAAAAATTTGCCAGCTCCCCTCCCCAATTACCCGTACTTCCCTCTGTAATGAAGGTTAAAACTTTTTTATCTACTTCCCTCTGTAATGAAGGTTAAGTTTCTTAACTACTTCCCTCTGTAATGAAGGTTAAGTTTCTTAACTACTTCCCTCTGTAATGAAGGTTAAGTTTCTTAACTACTTCCCTCTGTAATGAAGGTTAAGTTTCTTAACTACTTCCCTCTGTAATGAAGGTTAAGTTTCTTAACTACTTCCCTCTGTAATGAAGGTTAAGTTACTTAACTACTTCCCTCTGTAATGAAGGTTAAGTTTCTTAACTACTTCCCTCTGTAATGAAGGTTAAGTTTCTTAACTACTTCCCTCTGTAATGAAGGTTAAGTTTCTTAAACTACTTCCCTCTGTAATGAAGGTTAAGTTTCTTAACTACTTCCCTCTGTAATGAAGGTTAAGTTTCTTAACTACTTCCCTCTGTAATGAAGGTTAAGTTTCTTAACTACTTCCCTCTGTAATGAAGGTTAAGTTTCTTAACTACTTCCCTCTGTAATGAAGGTTAAGTTTCTTAACTACTTCCCTCTGTAATGAAGGTTAAGTTTCTTAACTACTTCCCTCTGTAATGAAGGTTAAGTTTCTTAACTACTTCCCTCTGTAATGAAGGTTAAGTTTCTTAACTACTTCCCTCTGTAATGAAGGTTAAAACTTTCCTAACTAATTAGCCGAATTAAAATATTCTTTTAAGAGGAAATCAAGCCGAATTACATTAAAAAAGATGGAGATTAGAGATAAAGGATTGTATATGCAGCTTCAGGTATATGTAAAGTCTCTCTAATAAAGCTTCTTTATAAAGTACATTTTTCCTAAACGAGATTTTAAAAAGTACATCAAGCATTAAATATCACGGAAAAAGGCCTTCACAGTACGTACGAGTTATTTAATTTTAAATGTACCTTTTCAACTGTATTTGTAAAAAAAATCGTACTGCTCAGGATAGTTTCATAAGAAAGCTTACTGTAATAAAGTATTTCAATACGCAACTTCGGGTATATGTACGTCAGGAGAGGCATTGTACCTCAGAAGTGAGAGTGCTGGTGAAGACTGAGGTGTCGAAGTCCCACTCAGTGCAAGGCTCATCCTCCAGACCCACCGAGGATGACCCGTTTGTCGAGTAGTAGCATGAGTCCCTGCCGGTGAGTACAACTTGGTGAGTACAACTAGGTGAGTACAATAATATAATGAGTACAACTAGGTGAGTACAATAATGTAATGAGTACAACTAGCTGGGTATAATTTCTTTTGTATAACTTTGTAAGTATAACTTGCTTAGCATAATCAAATCACAGAACGGATAAGGTTCGAATCCAAGCAGTTCATTGATTTGTTTGCAACCGAGTCATTACGATATCGTGAGTCCTGGCGAGCAAAACTCTACGAGTACAAATAAGCAAAAGGTCAGTTTGGTGGATAGTGGAAGAAGAATTATTATTTTGATCAAATAAAGCGCTAAACCGACAAGAATTGGTCGAAGGAACGAGCCTCCAGTACTCTTAGCGCTAAATGACCCTCACGGGTTTACCGCTTCATGTATGATAATAATAATAGTAATAATAATAATAATAATAATAATAATAATAATAATAATAATAATTTGCATATTGAAAAGTAAAAATATTTATTGAATTATATTTTTGTTTAATAATGATGACAGCACACGTGGCATGTGCTCCAAAGAGTTAATTATAATTAAAATTAGAATTAATATTATTATTATTATCATTATTATTATTATGAGTAGTGGTATTAGCAGTAATAATAGTACTGGAAAAAAATAGCAATAGTTGTATTAAAAGTAGCAGTAGTACCATCACCATCACGTTGTGATGCTGCTCCAGCCTCATTATCTATGTGAGATGTAATTTGAGTGTGCCTTGATTATAATTTGAATAGTGCGTAACTAAATGAGTTTGTTTCCCGTTATCCGTTGGCTTTATCTTCTCCACTGTTACCAGGAGCTATCTAGGTTTTTTGGAGACCAGTCTCCTAAAGCAAATTACATTGGTCTAAAACTCTAATGTGTACACCAGGACATATTTGATTAATTACTTTTAGTTTGAGGTGGAGAAAGTACAGTTTTTAAGAAAACCAGGAATGGCAAGAGGAAAAGGAGACTAGATAAAGAGCAGCAGAGAGAGCCGGACTGGGGCTCTCGAAGACTGTAATTATTGTATACTGGGAGAATATCTTGTGATAACCAAACTCTCCAGACGTACCTCTTGGCCCTCCCTTTTCCCCGGTAATATTTCTCTTATATTTGTATAGCTATACAGTTAGCTCTCTTGCCAAGCGCCATCAGTTAGAACAGTACTTTTGTAAATGCTACTGAAAATGGGGCATTGAAAAATGAATAGCACCTGCTATGAAGGCCGTTCATGCGCTATATAATTTTGAATTTGTTTAGTAATCGCACTATATCAAGAAACATTATAAAACAGCTGACTTGATTTGTGATTTATATTTCGTGTGGTAAGTTGTAAAACCATTTCTTTGTAGAATCACTCTTGGGAGAGCAAAAATATATCCTAGTGATGATTAGCTCCTGTAGCAGTTCAGTTGTTCAGTAAAATGTGAATTTATAACATTTTAATAATCTTATTCGCATTGATCACCAATTTCCGTCTCTGTTACTATGGTCTGACCCTTCATTGTGATAAGATCGTGTTGAGAAAGGAAGAGCGGTTGATTCAGTGATGTGTAGATAGTGGTAAGCCAGTGATTTATCAGGTCTGTTACATTAATTTAATAATTAGGTCACTGGGGATTTTGGGTGATACATGAGTGCCGGCCTGACAATAATAATAATAATAATAATAATAATAATAATAATAATAATATAATAATAATAATAATAATAATAATAATAATAATAATGATGATGATGATGATGATGATGATGATGATGATGATGATGATGATGATGATGATGATAATATTATTATTATTATTATTATTATTATTATTATTCATCGACTAGGTAAAGGGAGGATAGTATGCAACCAATTCTGATCCATAAAGGGACTAAAACGAGGACCGAAGAAGAATGACGGCAGAGAGGATATTCACTCCTAACCAAGACTAGCCATTACTAGAAGTCTCTGACCTTTCCAGCTAGAGAAAGAAATCGTATGATCATGTGATGTGATATTGCTTCTTCATCTTTGACAGTAATATGTTCTGTCTTAGTTTTACCTCTTTGTGAAATTAACACGATAGACAGCGTATCTCACTTGGATATCTGGACGATTTCTTCTGATTCAGGTGGGCGACAGGTGTAGTTGACAGCTGGGGCCAAGTATACTCCACTGATAAACTGTGGAGGTACCATGAAAACCCCTGCGGGAGAAGAAACATTAAGTTGAAAAATAAGCGTTTATTGGAACAATGTTTCGCTGTGAGTTAGAGCTTTTTCGTGACTTGATAAGGCTCTACATAGAGTGAAACGTAATTTCGGGAGCTCTCCACAGAACGAAACGTGACTCTGAAAAGATCTATACAGTTTACGGTTATATTTATTATAGGAATTAGAGTATTCTTGATTGGTGGCCTAAAGGTTGTATATAGCTTAATGACTATCCCATATAAATTTTGTGAGGAAGTACGAAAAGGGGTCGTTCTAGGATGGGTTGGAGAAAATTATGTAAGGGAGGTTTTGATTGCTAGGGACTTGGACACCCAACAGGCTTGTTTCAGCATGTTACATAGGAGTGAGTGAAGGCGAGTGTTTTTTTGTTAATGATTTGATGTGCTGTTAAACTGTGAGCAAAGTAACATTTATGAAATCGGTTACCCGGACTTGAGTCCTGGAGGTAGGTAGTACTGTGCTTGAACTCTAAAAAAGGGGTGGGAATACTGCAGTTCGGAGGATCATCTGAGCTGCGATGTTTGCTCACCTCTGAAAGACAGTGACTGAATGAATGACAGTGAAAGAATGTTCTTCTTTTTCGTGTTACACTACCTCGGGGGAAGACTGCCGGTGCACTAAAAAAATTGATAATGATAATGATAATAATTATGACAATAATAATAATAATAATAATATACTCATTGAGGGATTTATCTCTCATTGTTTGTACAGTACACTGGGAGAGTGAATTTCTGTTTTCGTGATTAAAGTATCTTTTACTGGTGGTGTACATGCAGCTTTAATGACCCTCGTTTAGTCGACAGAATTTAAACGCAGTGATCAAACCTGATGTCCGGAAGGCAGGTAATACTCACAGAAGGAGGCAGCCAGGAAATATATAATGTTCCATTTACTAGTGCCGAGCTGGGTAAGAAGATCATCGAACTTGCTGTTGTTGCTCATCTTATTGCCTCAGGAACTCCCTGTCGACGGCACCAGTGATGGGGTGCTGACGTTTTCCTGACGAAGAAATAAGTGATGGAGCTTCTAACGCTCAGTTATAAGAAAACTCACATGTGAGCTTCACATCATGAGCCCCATTTATTGTACAGTTAAGAGTGTGCCTCACGACCTGCCTGATTAAGGTGAGACTTTTCTACAAGTACTTGAAGTAGGTGAGACACACAAGGAACTAACTGAAAGAGGCGAAACCATCTTAAACTACCTGAAGGAGGTGAGAAATTATGTGAACTACCTGATGGAGGTGAGACACTCCAGGAACTGTCTGAAAATGGTGAGACGATCTAGGGTCTTTCCGAATGAGGTGAGAACCTCCATAACCTATCTGAAGAAGTCCTGAATCTTCAGGGACAATCTAACGAAGGTGATACTCTCCAAGAGAAAGGCAAAATACTCCAGAAATAATTTGAAGTAAGGAAAGGACCTACTGTTTGAAATTAAAAAAAATGAGGCCTTCAAAGAATTTTCCTGATCACTGTAAACCAAAACAAACCAGTCAGATAATTCGCTTAACTTATTTCTGAGCTCTCAATGTTAGATGCTACACTAGCTCAAATGAACGTCTGTTTCTTATCAAAAATTTATCAAAATTCACCGAATACAAGACTTTCACTCCAAGGTGACACAACGAAGATCATATTCAGAAGATAAGAGGACACCTCTGAGATGTGGATGACACTGTGGACAGCGTTTAAACAGTAGACAGACTGGCATTTAGACAACACAGGATGAAAGCATTGTGACAACAAACAGATGGGTGCGTCTTGAACAGCACAAAGACGGCATCTTTCAGACAGTAGACAGACGGTAGCATTCATACAGCAATCAGATGAGTGTACTATACAAACAAGGGCAGTTGTTCACTATGCCACAGATCTCCCCCGGGAGAGGAGAGAGAGAGAGACAGCAGGTCTCTGCACTAGCGTTGAAGTGATACTGAGTAATTCATCCTGTAAGCGTCGTCTTACTCTGGATTCTCCATGACCGCTAATATATATATACAACATAATCACTGATAATCATATATACCAACCATTCGATACTCAATACACTTCCCAGCAACAGCGTCACCCAGTGTACCACCAAACCGCATAAAAAAAACCAAGATATATGTCCAAATATTACTTATTTTCTATGAGCTTGGCACGGTGGCACACGTAAAATGAGTTGTCTGGAGATAATCTATACTTTAAGGTTATGTAAAGAATAAAAAGACACAAAACAGTATCTGGAACAATACACATAAAACCCGCACGATGGAGAGCGAAAATTATGACGTTTTGGTTTGACCTGGATCATTAAAAAGTCACAATCTCCTATATGAGGGATAATTATGCACAAGGATGTATGTAAAATAGGGTACGTGAAGGATATATTCAAGCATTGGTACGTCAGGGATATGTAAACATGAGAAGCATTAAGGTCATGCTCGGCTAGAGTTAGGAGAGAGGATGTCGGGTATTACGATGCTCAGCAAGTAGATCAAGGATCTCAACTGCCAGACACACAGATGTAGTGAGGGGAGACCAGCACACAAACAACAATAATGTGAATTTCAACTAATAGTGATGATCATTCTATTGAAGAATGACATACTTGTGCAGCATTTGGGAAACTTTTATCCAGCCAGTGGTATCTTCAGTCCGTTCTCGAGAAGATCGGTGAAAGATGAGGAGAATAAGGTTATCAGTCCCTCAGTCTGGAATCGATGTCTTCAGTCCCTCAGTCTTGAGAAAGGTATTGCATATGTTCGGAGTAGTGGCTTATGTACCGCATCGACTCCAGCCTGAGGGACTGATCACCGCATTCTCCTCCTCTCCTCATCTTTCACCTATCTTCTCTGCATTGGACTGAAGAAGCCACTGGCTGGCGAAACGTTTCCTTAACAGAAATTCCCAAATATTCCACAAGTGTTTCATTCTTCAACTTGTCAGTTTTCTAAACCAATACTTCACAAACATTCTATTAAACCAAGTATCGCCCTAAACAAAAAATCAGTTCTGTAGATTTAGAGTAAACAATTAAAAAAATACTGCAAAAAAAAAAAACTTGTTATTAATGCAACGAACCACTCGCTAGGGGGTTGATACAAGACTTCCAACCATCTGTCGGCTTCTAGCAAGTCACTGATATTCTATAGACTTAAAATTCTGCTGCACGTGTTTAGCATCCCTATAAACGAAATTACCATGAACGCTGATGTATGAAAAGTGAGAAACAACTAAGGAAATATACGGTGAAATGAGATGTGTATATTTCAAAACAAAATATCTCTCGTACCTGTGTTTCTTTTTTCTGTTCAAGTAGAACATAAGAACATAAGAACATAAGAATGTAGGAACACTGCAGAAGGCCTACTGGCCCATACGAGGCAGGTCCTTATCAAAACGACATCTACCTAAAGCTACTCAAGAAACAACTCCCGCACCCCCCAACACCAATCAAACCCAGGTAATCAGTCCCTCAGCCTGGAGTCGATGTGTTCAGTCCATCAATCTTGTAGTTTGCCACCTTGCACAGAGCTAGGTAACGAGTCCTTGGGAACACACCCATACCACCTAGCACCTTCACCTGACCCATGAAGAGACTGTATATCCACCTGGAACACACAAGCGCATGCACAAGCACATAGACAATCATATATATAAAGGCGCGCACGCACACACACACACACACACACACACGACATACAAAATACTGAGAGGAATTGACAAGGTGGACAAAGACAGGATGTTCCAGAGATTGGACACAGCAACAAGGGGACACAGTTGGAAGCTGAAGACACAGATGAATCACAGGGATGTTAGGAAGTATTTCTTCAGCCACAGAGTAGTCATCAAGTGGAATAGTTTGGGAATCGGTGTAGTGGAGGCAGGATCCATACATAGCTTTAAGCAGAGGTATGATAAAGCTCACGGCTCAGGGAGAGTGACCTAGTAGCGATCAGTGAAGAGGCGGGGCCAGGAGCTTGGACTCGACCCCCGCAACCTCAACTAGGTGAGCACACACACACACACACACACACACACACACACACACACACACACACACACACACACACACACACACACACACACAAGCAAAAAAAACACAAAACAGTGAGTACACACAGGTAAGTACACAAAATTAACAAGATCTGGAGGCAAACTCCATACACAGTGCCAAGAGCAGGTATAACAATATTAAAAAAAAAAACAGGTCTACCAACTGAAAAGGTTAGCCGACTGGAAATTAAAACTCTCTTATCATGACCCGGCCTCTGGATGTCTTCAAGATCAATTCGAGTACTGTAACTCGCTGGACGACAAGTAGTATTTTGTGCCTAAACTCTGGGGTACTACACACAATACTACCTGACCGGACCACACCGCATTGGTCTATTCTTATTTGCGTTCTCTCGACGTCTGCCCACAAACCACCCGCACATCCACATTTTTATAGGTTTCTATAAAAATATATTTATCTATACACTTTTTCTCTCATTTTAGACATGTAACTTTAATTTCATTATTAAATTAGAGCAACGAAATCGTTAAGTGGCATCGTTTAAGAGTCATAATAACATTATTTATTGCTGCTGGCACTTGATTGGTGGTTGAGAGGGTGTGTCTAATTTGTAGTCACCTGATTAGCTGCTGATTCAAGCTAGAAAATCTAATTTTCCCTTTACTATTTAATATTTATATTTCGTATGTTTTACTGGTTTAAATTTTTTGGGTTAATTTATAAGTCATTTTAAGAAATAATACATAATTTAATACAAAGATAAATATTTTCGACGCCGGGGGCGTTGACCCCCCCAACACACTGCAGGTATACCAGTTTAAACCACATGCAGTGAGTGGAATGAAGGTAACTTTCGTTCATTCTTTACATCTCTCATATCTTCCCCGCTCATTCCCCACATCTCTCGTTTCTCCACCACTCAATCCTGACATCTCTCATATCTCCACCTCTTATTCCTCACAACATCATCTCTCATACTGCCTCTCTCCCCATTATTTCCCTTCACATTATTCTAAACGCCTCACACTCATTCTTAACCATCGATCTCTCCCCACGTCTCCATTCTTTATTTTCCACATCCTTCACATTCTCTAGAATATTTAATTGAATTTCACCTAATAGGCAACTTTCCTTCATCCTAATCAAGAATTTTTTTTACATTGTAATCCAAGAGGATTTTATTTTTGAACTCTGAAAAAAAAAATCCACAAGATGATAAAAGAACAATTGCTATTTTTTTTTTAATATTTGTGGTAAATATTTGCTAACCAGCATGCAATTTTTTCACAAGTCTTCTTATTTAAGTATTTTATTGATGGTACTTGATCTGTTAATGTACGAGGCCTGGTCACTGACCAGGCTGCGGGGGCGGTGACCCCCGAAATCCTCTCCAGGTACATACATGACTGAAGCATTCAAGTTCTTAATACTTATTAATTATATTTTTTCTCCAGCTTCCATGTAAGTTTTGTTTCCACATTCTGCTGTATTATTTTTCCTTTAGGTTTTCTGTAGTAACACTGTCAATCAAGAATAAAAAGGCACAATACCGTGACTGGAACAATACACGAATAACACGCACATAGGAGATTGAAACTTATGACGACGTTTCGGTCCGACTTTCACCATTAAATAATTAAACTTCGTCATTTGTCTCATTTTCCTATGTGCGGGTTATGTGCTGTTTATAATTTATTCATATAACTGACTTGCATCAATAACGTTTATAAGTCTCTGATGCATCTTGTATATTGTATGCCTGTGTATAATAAACTCATTGACTAACATCAGCTGTGACTTTGTCTCTCTCAGATCGGGAAAGTAAAGGTGCTGTTGGATAAGAACTACATGCCTGGTGAGGCTCGGGTTCGTGTGCCCATGACGAGGCAGTTCGGTAACTCCATCCTCAACATCTACATTCCTTCTCTCATCCTCATGGTCATCAGCTACCTCACCTTCTTCTTCCGAACCTCCATCTTCGACGTGCGTGTGATGGTCACCCTCACCGCCCTTCTTGTGCTTGCTACACTCTTCGCTCAGGTCTGCTCATGCAACTCATCTCGAATCACTGAAACAGTTCCACAAATGCTGTTATAAATCATGTTTATATTAAGTTTTCAATTTCTGTAAATAGTTTAATGCCTTAAATCGTAGTCAACATAAAGATACTTAAGGTTATTTTTATTTTCAATTGACAGGCGTCAAATTCACTGCCCAATACGTCGTACTTCAAGATGGTGGACATCTGGCTCTTGTTCTGCGTGGGTGTCACCTTCCTGGTTATCATATTTCATATCCTAATTGATAACCGGCTGTTCAAAGAGAAAAAGACAACCCAAGTAAAGCCTTTTGCCATGCCAGCGTATAGGGAGATCCAGCTGTTGGGACTTCGAGGCCGCTGCCGTTGGTCACCAGACCTGTCGGTTGAGCAGCTGGAATTAGTAGCCAAAGTCTTCGTCTTCTTTCTCATGACCACATTCATGATTGGATACCTGGCTTATATTATAAGCTGAGGCTCCCTTCTAAGACTCCCTTAGGACATCGACTGTCTGTTTTGCAAGCTTGCAAAGTTACAACACAAGTAATAATTAAGAGATCTTGCAGATGAACGACTTGTGTTTATCACACTGAACATACAGTATATCAACACACATCGTAATATACAAAAACATGATATCATCACTGATCTATATACACGTACGAGGTCCCAGACAGAGACAAACTTAAGTTTATGAGCAAAATGAAGAATATTCAGCGCTTGCCCAATGGTTCATATTGAGATTAAATTTGACGCACTAAATATTAAGAAGTTTATTTAACATACAAATATTTTTATAGCATAATCACATTTAATATACATCAAAATTTTAGGTTTGCGGGCCACTCCATGGTCGAATAAACTATAGCTGGATTTTCCGACACAAACACAGATGACCTACGACATGGCGTCTGCAACCACACACTGGCAAGTACACACACACATTCACAGGATGAGAGTGAGGAAGAGTGATGTGAAAATAATGGGTTAACTACAAAGTGAAGAGGTTGAAAGAAAGCTTTATAATAATTTACAAGGTCAGGAAAGGTCTTATAAATCATTACTAGAATTTAATTCTAGTAAAACCTTTTTTACTAAAGCTGAGAGATGGGGGAATTGAAATCGAAAACAGAGCACCATTTGGGAATATGGAAAGAGCTCACATAACAGTTAAAGAAAAAACCTTGGAATAACTAGTGTACCAGCTCTCTCTCCTGAGGCACATGTAATGTCCCCTGGCTCAATGTCACTTCATTTTCGTTTGGGTCCGCCACGTGAAAATACTCTCGCAAAGCTGTCAAATAATCATTACACCATACTTGGTTCCATATGTCCATTACGTTCACCAGCTTATTGTGATTCTTGTGTTAACATAAAACAGAGTGGCATCAACATCATAGGCTGAAGTTGCAAACGTAAGAGTGGTTTTCAAAAACCAAGAAAATGACTCGATCGAAATATTTTCTACTTCATTGTGGGGTGGAGCCCGTAACCGGCAAAACTCAAACTGAAGCTTGAGAAAATCCGAAGATGATAATTTTCAAGTTTCTTGAGGATCAAAGAACAAGTGAGCATACGATAACGGCATACAAAATAATTGTTTGCAAGGGATGAAC